AACTTCCATAACTACATGTACTTCACGTCATCTCAATTGAATACCGTGAATACCGTGCATCTTCACAAAGGATAAAAAAGAGCAGCTTTATTAACAGCAAAGCTAGGTCAGCACATCAGTCTGGTATTGTGAGGGTTTTGTGCCGATATAAAAAACCCTTCTCGTTTTATGAATGAAAACGCACTTCTGTGCGATGCGGTCCTATATATAGAATCGTCTCTGAGAAACGAGGACTCCTTCTTGTCAAGAGAGACCACGGCGCCTCGGAGGCCCTAGCTTGCTTAGAATTCAATGGATTCCTTTCAAATTTTAAGGACTGATTTGTGAATACTTTGATAGCCGATACCCGAATTCCCATATCGGAACCATAATTCATTGTGGAGTTACTATCATTTAACCCTCTGGGAATGAAATTGTAATTCTCTAACAACTTCACATGCGAATTGAAGACCGTGAATACCCAGTACCTTTATATGATATGAATCCAGTATCTTTATATGATATGAATCTTTATTGCATGTTCTTGCGCAGGTGGGCTAAATGCACAAATGTGACCAAATGTGGTCGAGAGGATGAAAAATATGAGTATTGTATACTGGATCGCTATATTCTAATGCTAAGTGCTAGGAGACTATTTATTACAACAATACTATACACTACCTATCATCTACTGTTACTTGCCCTTTCTTCTCTCTTTTTGAAACATCTGGAAACATAATTACATAGTTTGTCTACTGTACATTCGTTCTTGCATGACATCAAAGGTTTAAAAGTGTCCTGCTTTGACATTTTCTTATATATTTTGTCTAATTGTAAAGTTTCGAATAGCTCTTGGTGTTCATCTTCAAATAATGTACAGTCAGGTAGGAAGTGTATCTCGTTTTCAACATATAAATTATTACAGAATTCGCAAGTTTTATCTTTCTGAGAGGTACGGCTATGCCTGTCGGATTCTAAACGTAAGGCCACACCGATTTAATTTTATGGACGACATCTGCGCGCGCATTGATTTTCGCCCGATCTCAAAAAAAAAAAAAAGATACACGTATTCCGAGGCTCTTGCCTGGCTTTAGGCCTGGGTAGTGCATGGTGGTGATAACTCTGGTTGACAGCAGCCAGGCTACCGAAGCTCCAAGACTCAAGAACTCAGTACATACGTACAGCAGTGTCAATTCATATATTCCGCAAAAATCCAGCATGTGTCGGCCTGTCGTATACGTCGCTATGTAATGCGCCAAATTCACAATACCAGGTTTGTATTCCTGTGGTTTTGTAGCATTTTTATTTTTGGCCGGATTTTTATTTTTTTCGCTCGCGCGCACTAGTTTGGGGGTCTTCAGAGGATGTCATCCATAAAATTAAATCGGTGTGGCCTTACAATTTTCTGGTCATTTTTATGCAGTAAGTTAAATCAGTCGTATCCCATAGAACACTGATACCTCTGAGGAAAATTGTAATGTCGCCGATAGAAACCAGTTACTTGTTTTGGATCGTAGGCTGGTTCTAACTAATTTATGGGGGTACCCAATCATATTTTTTGTTTGGCCACCCTAAAATTGCACTGGATGTCTTTATATATACATTGTAAATACTCTAGACTGAGATTTTTGTGCTACAATGTTGTGTCTACTAAGCACAATTACCAACAAACTAGAAACACTTTAGATTCTGTGCCACATCCTGAAGTGGCTGTCCTGGGATTTCCAACTGTGACAGTTCCTGCCAATTGTTGGGCCTCATTCTTTCATTTCTCACGTAAGAACGTCCCTACAGGATCCACCCATGCCATCACATGGCTAATGAAGCCAATTATTATTAGAAATTTCATCACACTAATTAGGCCATTGGGACTTAGGCCTCTGCCCCTGTATGCCCTATTTTTCCATGATTTGAAAACTGTATACCTGGAGATTTTTTTAATACCTGCACTTTAACTTTAACATTTCAAGATTTATTCCAAATTGAACCTCTCAAGAATTTTTTTTTTCAAATAAACCACAAGACTTTTTGCTGAGGTTCAAATACGATCTGTTGTAAATAACACTTTTTTTTTTACAAATATCAATAATAAAAGGCTAGAATATGATTACGAGTAATTTGAGAGTTAAAATGAGTCTCAAAGAATATTGGACCTGTTGATCAGGCTTCTGTATATTTGTTTTATGGTACGTTTAGGTTAAAGCAATTTCTAAAGTACAAATAATTGTACTCTGCTCTGTTTAACATGTCATGATTCATGTCAGAATTTCAATCCTGATGTATGATTAGATAATTACAAATTTGCTCCTGAAAGATGACCTATTTTGCTCTTAAGTCCCAAGGCACAACGTGTCTCTTAATTCAGAACCAGAGCAGAGGGCACGTAAGTAAGGTATAATGAGGGATTATGTAAGCATGATTACCCCTATACCGTCATCAAATCCCAAGTCCCGGATTACATGAATTCCCTTCCTTTCAAATCACGAAGGATTTGCTTGGTAGAAATTACTAACAGAATGAAGATTTTGAAGCAATCAGAGATGATGATGATTTTGAGAACCCAGCCCCAAATTTTCATGGAAAGCAGACTCAGGCACACAGCGAATACAAAAGACTGTGCGTTCAAAATGGTGTAACATTTGGGGGTATGGATGCCTCTAGGGAAAAAAACCAAATGACAGAATAATTGGTAATTGGTTCCAAAGCAATTCACCATTGGCATGCCCTTTCAAGGGACAGTGTTGTTTTTCATATAAAACCATACAGACACTGTAGCAATTGCAATGGTATATTTCAGGTTAAAAACTGTCTGAAATTTGTGAGTGAAAACCAAATAATATAATAGAATGCAACACCCAAGGTCCCAGCCCAACCATGGGTTAGATTGCCTGAGGGATAAAGGTCAGACCATGTCACAGTCAGTGTATTTTATTTATGTCATACCCACCCAAGAAAACACACCTTCAATGCGAAACGTGCCAAAATTTATTGTCCCCAATCTAAAAATTCCAATGTCCAAATCCAATATTTGAAATTCGTGTACTTGCACACATGCCCAAAACGAAATCTACAGAACATTTGGAAGCCTGTGTGATAACGAAATAGGGCCCTGTGTAATATAGCTAGTTATCAGACAGGCCAGAACACCTGTATGGAACATTATCACTGCCACGGTATGAGTCAGAGTATATATATAGTATGACATAAGGTACGTTATCTCTATATATCTATATGAGAAAATTTTCCCTCATATACATTTGTATAGACACTACATGTTTTGCCATCATGAAAGGGAGGATACAAAATTTTCTGGAAATATTTTTTTTAGTTCATTATATGTCATTCAATGTTAGACTGATTATTTTGCTAATGTCAAAATATGAAATGATTATTCTTATTCTTAAACAGTGTCATTATGCCAAGTCTACATGTACTAATAAAATCCAGACAGAAACCTGTTCATGTATATTATTGGCAGCTATTAAGGCACACATTACATAACTCCTTGTACTTGTCATGCATTGTTATTCTAAAGTAGGTCAGCTTACATTGTACATGAATGCAGTCACCAAGGAGACTTGGTAATTATTACTCAGTAGCACAAGTATTATTTCCTCACTAATTTCTACTGAGTTGTCTGTCCTATAATTGCTTTGGTGCATGGTGGGTGGTGATCTTGACAGGTGACTGACAGGGAAGTCACTACGATGCATTCTGATGCTTTATCATATGGGAATTTATCCTTTCTTTAATCTGAGTGATTTAATCGTTAAAACGTTAGGTTTCCAATTGTTCCAACTGTTTTGAATTACATGTAACATGTTACCTCCTTAGAAATACCATACAGCTACCATCACATGTGACTCAATGGCTATTATAACTGCAATCATTTCTACATGTACATTTTTACCATTACTGGAGTATTTGGACCAGCACGTTGGCAGAATTCACTGTACCTGCATGAAACCCATAAAATAAGGCTTAGCACAGTGCATATATTTTATAGCTTAATCCAGCAGAACATCTCATTTAATGTCCTATTCGCACATATGTAAGAATGACATCCTATCTACAATGTATTTTTTTCAAATGTTGCATGGGAAAAGATATCGTCTGCGACTGGCAAAATTCTGATGCAACATTGACCAAACATCCAACGAAAAACGTGAAAAATCTAATAGTATGTTTTATGCAGGCACAGTACATTCTGCCAACATTCTCATTGGGACCTGCCAAAAAGAATCAATACTATAAACATAGTATTGGTACTAGTAACAAACATTAAATGAATATATCTTTTTTCAAGGCCAAAAGAGGGAGAGCATATTTTGGGAGCAGAGACTGCAGGGATAAAAACAAATTATCAGAACGTAATGCCTTAAAATATATATTTTGACTTTGATTCCTACTGATAGAAAATCAATAAAATCAATGCTTAATCTGATTTTTCATTTTACAGTGATGATAAAGAGATATTTAGGACTCAAATAATCACTCAGTTTTAATACAGATATCAACAGTCAATGATGAAAATATCATACTGTATAATATTAGATAGATATACAGTACTTGAAATGGAGTTTACTATATATCATATAGATTCATAGCTTTAAATTTTGATGACATTATTTGAACATTTGCTAGAAGACAAAGGGATAAGAAACAATTCCTGTTTCTCTTCTAACCTAAATGCAGTACAACCTGCATTGATCTTTTAGCATTGCCTTAATCTTTTAGTATATTATCAATGAAATATAACAGGAGCCAATACTACAATTAATTGTATGATGTTCAGAGAAATTGAAGTCAACAGTTCACAATTGTTATGTTTCCTTTTTTAGTAACTCCTAACAAGCAGGCATCTTGAAAATATGAAGAAGCAACAAATCTTTTCATGATAAAATATTTCAAAATACCATAATTGCCTCTTCAAATTGCTCTGGGATTTCATGTTTGCTGTTTCTTTTTTCTTTTCTAAAATTATCTCTCATCATCATGCAGATCTTATTTCAGTTTTGAGGTAAAAAAATTGATTTAAAAAACAACATGAAAGAAAGACACAAGGCAACAAAATACAGTCATGAATGGTCTAAGTCATTTTTCTAACCTAGGCTACACCATCTTAATTTTATGGATGACATTCAGTGAAGACCCCCAAACTAGTGCGCGCGGGCGAATGAAATAAAAATCCTGCCAAGAATAAAAATGTTACTAAACGACTGGAATACAAAGGCAAAGCTGGTATTGTGAATTTGGGGCAGAACATATACGACAAGCAGGCACATGCTTCAGCTTTTTGTGGAATTTATGAATCGGCACTGTAAGTATATAGGTATGTACTGAGTTCTTGAGTCGTGGAGCTTCGGTAGCCTGGGTGTCGCTAACTACCATGGACTACCCAGAGCCTCAAATGACGACTGATCTTTTTTTTTTTTTTGTGAGAACAGGCGAAAATCAATGCGCGCGCGGATGTCATCCAGAAAATTAAGACGGTATGGCCCTACCTTAAACTGGGCACCTTAAATTGATACTCAGGCAACTGGATAGCTTTTGAAAACTGTCAGACATTTTAAGTAGCACCCACTACTTTTCATCAGCGACTAACTCAATCTGTAGTTGAACAGGTATTTTTCCAAAAACTATGAATTTTAATCCATGAATTTTTAAACAGTCCATGAGAAACAAAAAGTAAGACAAGCTCAGACTAGTTCACATTATTGTATTTTCTGTTTCTAGTTAATGTTGATATTTGTTATTGTAAAAGTATTTTCTTTAATACACAGTGCTTGCAATTGCCAGATAATGTGACAAAAACATGGTGTTAAACTACAAAAAAGTGTTGCTAAATGTAAACTTATCTATCTATACACATTCAAAACCACCTGTTCGTATTGATGTAATGCATTGTGTTGGGGGTGTTTCATTTCACATGGCAGAGCGGGCTGGTATTGCTTACACTTTTTATTTGCTATAACGTAAAATTGTCACATATTATCCTTCTGGGTCGTTCAGTACGGAATCAAATTTAGATAGGAAAGTGTAATTTCAGAACAATGACGTGAGATCAATTGGGAAGGATCGATTTTGGCGGCAGGCCGGCCAACATATGCCGAACCTCCCCGCCCCTCCTGAAATCACCAACATTCACTGGTGGTTTTCAGACGACATTTTCGGTTTTCCGACTGAGTATTAAGGCAGCTGTGTGTATTAAAGAGCTTACGTTTCCTCAGAAATGTCGTCCAAACATGGCTGTTCGCCAAATCCACCCCCACAAAATCATAAGCTGAGGAAAAACACAGCAGATATCCGCTGTAGCTAAGGGAGGCGTAGGGGAGAGTACAAGACGGGATGTTGTCGGCTGAAGCTTACCGTACACCCGCTCGGCTCGGTCGCCGCTCCCTGCGCCGCACACAGCCGCTACCACCCCGAGAATGGCGAGTATTCTCGGCAGGGACATCGTTCTCCCATTCCTCGAACTCGAGCCGCCTTCAAAGCCACATTTCGGGGCCCGACATTGCGATTCTTTCCCTCACACAGATCTCTTTCGGCCGCCTGCTTAGCCACAGGCACGGCAAAATTACCCCCACAGTGCCCGGATGTGCCATCTTGACGTCACGTCATGCATATTTATTTGCAGTCTTAAGGCAGGCTCCACCTTAACTGTCGTCAGGTGAGAAACATAACGTCGGTTACGTCACAACACAGTTCAGGGTTCTCACCAAGAGTTTTTTTGAAGTGTGATTTTTTACATTTTACACTCAAATGCCAAAGGCGATCTACTCGCACTAAGGCCACACTGATTTAATTTTATGGATGACATCCGCGCGCGCATTGATTTTCGCCTGTCGACCTACAAAAAAAAAAAGATTACGTCCACCGAGGCTCTGGCCTGGCTCTAGGCCTGGGTAGTCCATGGTAGTTAGCGACAAGACGTAGCCGAGCACCCAGGCTATCGAATTCGAAGCTCCGCGACTCAAAAAATTCAGTACATATAAGTACAGTACCGATTCATAAATGCCGCAAAAAGCCAGCATGTCGTATACGTTGCTAAGTACTGCCGCAAATTCACAATACCAGCTTTGTATTCCTGTGGTTTAGTAGCATTTTTAGTTTTGGCCGGAATTTTTTTTATTCGCCCGCGCGCACTAGTTTGGGGGTCTTCAGAGGATGTCATCCATAAAATTAAATCGGTGTGGCCTAACTATTAAAGCTGGATTTGAGAATGGAGGGATGAATTACGTGCGCAATGTAAGATGTGATTTTCTTTTAAAGCTAGTAAGACTGAAATAACAGATGCTTGGATGTGTGAATAGAAGGGTGAATGAATGTAGCCTGGGTACCACCCGGAATTTTGCTCCGCTACACTAGAAAAAAATCACCTAGCGTAGCGGAGCAAAATCCAGATGGTACCAAGGCAAGAATGAATGAATGAACGAACGAACGAACGAACGAATGAATGAATGAATGAATGAATGAACTACTGGGATGGATCTTGCATAGAAAACATGATCTGCGCTGCGTGTGTTAAAATGTATTACTAAGTTTTTCGAACCCTTCGTTACATGAAACAACACAAAAGGAAAAGTGGCAGCTGGTTATATACACCTGACCTTTTCACATCTGCATAAACACGAATTGTGTATGAAATCCTATTACGTTTTGTAATATCATGGGGGTAGAAAATGTGTTTTTCTACCCCCATGGTAATATCAAAGGTAACGTTATGTATTACTCTGGAAAGGCCATTCTTTAGCGACACGCGGACGTGATGCACGGTGACGTCAAACTGGCTTCGTTTCATGGACCGCACCCACACAGGGATTAATTACCTCCGTGGAAAAATGGAGGTATTGTTTTTGGTGTCTCTTTCTCTCTCTCTCTCTCTCTCTCTCTCTCTTTTTCTCTCTCTCTCTCTCTCTCATTCTCCCTTTGTGTTTGTGTGTATGTGCGTTTGTGCATTTTTGCTTGTGTGTGTGTGTGCGTTTGTGCATTTTTGTTTGTGTGTGTGTTTGTGTATCATGTGTGTGTGCGTGTGTATGTGTGTCCGTGTGTGTGTCAGTGTCTCGGAATTCACGTAGTTGCTTGACTTATTTTGTATTACGTCATGTTCTACCTACATGTCTAAGATCTAAGATTATCGACGTAAGACCACAATTAGTACTTGGCAGGTTGCACGTGTTTCAGTCTCGTGGCTCCTTCCACGAAAGACGGTATTTTTCTACACTTATGGGGGAGAAAAACAGCACGAAGTACTACTTACCTGTTAATTGCCTCTTCCAAGGTCCTCTTCGAAGGTCCTCGAAAGCGTCGTCAGAAGTACAAGTGTCCCACGTCAAGGGCGATGGCATGCCCATACCGAAGACAGCTTTTGAGAGAGCTCATTATACAGTACAATTGTGCATCTAAGTCCAGTCGTACGAGTATTAATAATGGTCCACTTCAAGTCACCAAAGTGTCCAATTATTTGAGTCACACATCGTCATCATTCTCATCACGCCACTCAACCATCTATTCTCATCTTAGCCCTCGGCCAGCATTTTTAAATGAATAGTTCTTTGTTTTAAATAAATAGTTCTTTGATTTCTTTTCTGCATATTGTCCATATTGTGGCACCTGATACGCTTCGTATTCAAATATTGTCGGCTGTAATTTATAATATTTCTCTCACAGGACTATACAGTCAGAACACATGACTACTTTTTGTCACAGATCTAGAACATTTTTATTACGCATTTAAATACATGTATACTGAACAAAACGACAAAATTAATGCATAATAAGTAGTTAAGTAAGTTGCACATCGTTAGTCCATGTTGGTGTGTCTTATAATGGTCCTAAAGCTCCCTATCGACTGTGTCGCTCCATATGAAGCGGTACAGAGTTCCACACTGTCGCCCCACCTCATGGTCAGTGACCGCCTACTAGTACACCTCTAGCTGGGGCGTCGGTATGAGAAGGTTGACGTACGTAGTCAGTCTGATGGATCTGGAAACTTGAAATACATGTAGAAAGTGCGGCAGCAAACATAGTCATTACAAATACAGAGAAAGAGAGTGTTTCTATTTCAGGTTTATTCAGGCGTCCGTTTCTGACCTTGTCCTGTCTATCGAGCGGCGTCTTTCTTTGCTTGGGATCTTTTTATGTCTTAAAGGCTTTGTGCATGTCTATAGCAGCGACTGTTGTTTCCGGGACACCATTTTCACAGGGATTTTCGTTAAAAGGTAGGATAAAACGAAAAAAGGTTAAGTTTAAGTTATGTAACGTTGCCTTTCAAGAATTCGAAGCTTTGGAATGATTGTCATGAAAGTCTTGATGAGACCCCTAGCGGCGTGTTATGGTACTGCTACAGTCACTATTTAACAGTCAAATTATATGACCTCATTCGCATAATACATGAGGAAGCGCTAGAATAGCTTTCTTTGTTGAGATATGACTGTCGTGATCAACTGATATTGTTCACGCAAATGAGGATCTTTTTTGTATAATCAATGAGAAACATGTACAATTCGTCAGTCGCAAATGTTGATATCATCTTGCGAAGGTATTAGATCGTAGAACTCTAGCAATAGTTTGTATCTCTTATCATGTTTATGACCAACATGCATTTCTAATGTTTAATAGCTGCCTGTAATGCAATGGGCAATCTAACGATACCGAGAACAAGGCATTAGTAATGGCTTCTTCGGCGTGGCGTTTTCGTAACGCGTGAAGGACAACGCAGCATCATTTCGTGTGATTTTTCCTCACGGCTTTCTACATTAATCCAACGTTAACTCGATTCCGCGAAGAATGCAGGAACTAATCGCCGCACGCCTGGCCTGTGTACGTCATGTGGTTATCAGTAGATGTTAGGAACAGACAATGTTAATGAAGTAAAGCACACATGGTGCCAGTGGGGCGCCACCGGAGGCCATCTGTCATGTCAGCCTTTGGGATATTTTTAATGTGCACCAGTCACTGTCATCTACACTGGGGAAGTTATGTATAGTTGGGCGACACACCTGTATGGGTATTGAGGACTACATGGTAGTATGGAAACACTTGATATTGAAGATCGCTACCTAGAATTTAATATGGAGCAGTACATTTAAATGACTGTATAGACGAAATATGCTATATTTTCTCCCGAGCGAATATCTGCCTTTCAAGTTATTGTCGTTTCCTTAATTAAGGGATGCAAAAGCTGCTTTCGTTCCGCCCGACTTTTTCCGTCTAGGCTCCCCGGTAGGTTTTGCACGACGACAGTTCAGCTAACCCCATACTCCCGTCGTGCAAAAACCCCTACAGGTGCTATACTAGTACTCTCCAAGCAGAGGTTTGGGTTGGGGTTACTTTGGGCGTTTTTTAAGACTTTTTTTATCGGGGTTTCTTTTTTGCACTGGAAATATTTTCAGCCAACCCAACCGGATGGGTAAAAAAAATCCAGTGCAAAAAAAGAAACCCCGATAAAAAGCCCCTAAAACACGACAAAAATAACCCTAAACCCAAACCTCTACTTGGAGAGTAGTGAAACTACCGGGGCGGCTGGGATCGTCTACAGGCCCGAAGATAGTACTCCCAAACCCGGGACACCAGGCAGAACATCTCCCGGTCATCCGCCCGTTTCTCTGCACTCGTAGGTGCACGGTAAATTGGATTTGTGTGTGTGACCGTGTTATCTGAGGCGGGCAGGCAGACAGGTCCAGACGGGGTGTCTCCTGGACGTGGTAACGACTCTCGGTGTACGTAATGTATAAGGCATCCAATGTCATTTCAGGGCGGCAATACAAAATATTCTAGACGAGGGGGAACTAAACTGAACTAAATTATCGAACTAATGGCAGGGAGCAGGAACTCAGTTAGACCATGTTGATTTGATAATATGGATGACATCCTCTGGAAACCCTAAAACTGGTGTGAGCGTGCGAATAAAAAAGTTTGCCTTCATTATGAAATCTACATGGTCACAAAGTGAACAAAAGGACTAAGATTAAAACACAAATATGGCGAATATTAAACTCTTCATTTTCATTTCTTCACATTTTCTTCATTTCCCTTTCCCATCATTTCCCATTGATCGTTTTCAAATATTTTTGTTTTGAAATTTACGGCACATATTTGCTCATTTTGCAGCTGCTTTGTACGATTTACAGTATGGTCTGTGCAGTATGGTCGAAATCTTTTTTTTTATAGGAAACGGTCGAAATTTCATGCGCGCGCGCGGATGACCTCAATATAATCAGATCAACATAACCTGGCCTAAAGACAAAATGTTGAACCTGTGATAAGGTCTTTCAAAAGCTTACGTTCTCGTCGCCTAGAGTCTATGGTAAATATTTCGTGTGACCTAAAATGCACTGAACCTTAAGTCGAAGGCACCAGCACACAATGTGGGTTCCCCCGCTAATCCCTCCTACGCACGCGCGTCAACACGTCATGTGACGTCACAAGATTGTATGTCACCCCCTCCTGTAGCTGTCAATCACTCCGCCAGATGACGTCATGGGTGACCCTAATTGGACATGATTAGGAGTTAATTAAGAGTACCTCACCGGATTAATCCGAAGGCATGATGATGATGAGGAGTTGACAAATAATGCTCGCGACGTCTACATCCCCCATTAATAAAATCCCTGAAGGGAGCAAAAAATACAAAGAAAAAAGCATTTGGAACCTGGTGATGTGCAACACAGATCGTCAATTTGCAGTTCCTATTTCAGACACAACAAAGAGGGCGCTCTTGTAAGGGAGAGTGACCGAGTATGATCTGACGCTTTTTGGTGACGCCTTAGGAGCGGAGCCATTAGTATAGTACTGCGATTGAGTTGATACTATTCTAAAAATCCCATGCACCACGCATCCCCTGGTGACTTTTCTTGTTTTAACACGATAACTCGAGAATGTTTTATACTTTATTTAATTGCATGGTATTGTAGCGGATTCCACGTAGGATAGTGTGAATTTTCAATGAAAAACAACAGAGATCCTAATAGATAAAACCAAACAAACAAAAACTTGGCATCGATTCCTTAGCTCTTTATTTAAAACACTTTCTTGATCAGATAGAGAATCTTGTAGGTTTTTTTTTATTGTCGTCACCGTAGATGCACGAATTTTGACGACGACTCCCGACAGGAATTTATAAACGGCCACACCCGACAAAAGCCGACGGTGATTCCCGAAGCATGCCGACCTAGGCCGGGTAGCGGGTGCACCCGGAGTCCAGGTAGTTCATCATGCGGTTGACGTACAGATGACAGTTGTTGGAGAGCAGGTCGTAACTGCCGTAGCGGGTCTTGTAGCCGCGGCTGAAGTCGATGGCCTGCTGCAGGCTGCAGCCTGACTCCCCGGCGGCGCTGTGGGACCAACTCACCGAGCAGTCAGACGGCACGCGGTAACCCTCCCAGGCAATCTGGCGGAAAGAAAAACCAACCAACGGTAACATAACATTTTCTTTCATGCGGCTTTGTCCGGTATTGCAGAGGTAGACATGGATGCGACATCTCATGTTGTGCAGATGCTATGGTTTTAACATTTGGTAGATACGTTGGGGTTGGGACCACAAAAGTTTTATCTAGCAGCTTTGTACGGTACCGCAAACCAAGAACAATACTAGCTTAACTGGAGGAAACAAAATAATGTCTGTCAAAGATTTTTGCCGACGCCTCAGAAGCTGTTAGTGTTACATAATATGAATGCATCACTGAATGTACACTAAATGTGTTACTCTTCGTTAAATTTGTTCTAAGTATATTTGAAGTTTACCTTGTCTTCAAAGTTGTCGGCGCCGACTCCCCACTCGAAGACCATGTTACGGAAGATGAGGACGCGGTGAAGCGGTACCAGGGTGCCGACCTCGACCACAGCGCGCTTGCGGAGGCTCAACGGGGTGGTGCCGTGGTAGAAGTGCGCGGTGTGGCCTGGAGAGGGCGACACGGAGGGCGTAGGGTTAGCCTGGTGTCCAGTCTACCGCGGTTTGGGCTGACTCTCTTCGGGCCTGCAGTAGTTCCCAGCCGCCCAGCTCAACAAGGATCCCCGGTGGTTGGCGGGAGTTTTGCGGGAGGGGGTATTATTACCCTGATAAAATCCCGTCGTTTAAAACTCCTACCGGGGAGCCTAGTTAAACTGGGCAGCGGAGAAGAACTGCCTGCAGGCCCGAAGACAGACAGCCCAACCGCGAGACTGTGCACTGGGCTAATTATTAGGAGACCGCTGACTCGCAGTGGGCGCTCCTCGACGAAACTCCATCCCAGTCGACGACAACACTGGCGATGTAACTATATAACTATATAATATAGTTAAAATTTGTGTGTGTGTGTGTGTGTGTGCGTGTGTGTGTGTGTGTGTGTGTGTGAGAGAGAGAGAGAGAGAGAGAGAGAGAATCTTTGAGAGAGAGAGAAATAAACTCAGAGAGAGAGAGAGAGAAAAGAAAAGGAGAGAAAAAGAGAGAGAGAGAGACTGGGGTCATTAACAGTACTTCAACCAATAAAATTTGAAATAAAAAAGGAAAGTGATTTTGTCTACCATGCGTGCTGGAATGCGGGTAGTGGTGGCAGCTCGTGTCTTCGTTGACGCCGATCGGGTTGGATCCCGAGGCGCGAACCTGAGCCAGCGGGGCCTGCTCCTCCACCGGGACCGCCTGTGCAGCCGCCAGGAGCGCGAGGGTCAGCAGCGCGTACATACTTCACACAGGAGTCGGGAGGCTGGGTGATCTAGGAACGGTGGCCGTCTGGAAACCGTAACACTACCCACCCGAGAAGGACCTCCTTTTAAACCCAAATGTTATTCTACCAAATTACTTTATTACGGGTAATAAAACGGCATTTAAACATAAAAAACACCCCTCATAAATCTATTCATATCCCTTATGAAGCGAAGTGCAAACAAGGTAAAAAAATTGCAAAGCGTTTATCTGGGAAAATATTGCATTTAGGCAATTTATAAATTAAAACGCCTTCAACTCGAAAAGGTCGAGGTCCTTATAAGATCTGAAGATATTTTCAAAGTGAGATCTAACTCGAAGCATTGCATAATGAGTCTAAAATAATACCACACAGCTAGAAACATCGGTGTTTTTATAAAGGTTTTTGAGTGACGTTGTTTAAGATGAAATTTGTCATCAGAAATTCAGCTAGTAAGTTTCCTTAAAACCAAACTGTTTATTTAAGCGGTTTTAAGGATATTTTATAATCCAAAGGTCTAACAGCGTTTTTCGGTGTCACTCTTTAAAAATGTCCTTTTCAGAAAAATATGAAAGATATCCACTTTCATCATAAGTTACCAAATGTCATTTTCAGAAATACTAATCGTGGGTAACTACATGTATGTGATTTTTTTTGCCTCAGTGCTGTCCTTAGACATTCATTTTGACATTCATTTTGACAGTTTTAGACCAAAAGTTTAAACGTTTGGTGAAACAACAAGTTTATCTTTCCTACGGATATGACCTTTGATAAACCGTATGTTTTTGGACAAAGCGCCATACAACACATGTTCGCTTCCCAATGATAAAAATTCCCCTACCACAGCAGCACTTAAGAGAAAAGTGCAATAATTTTAGACTTGTGTCGGTTATATATCAAAATTGGACTTCCACAATTCATACCTTCACCACTTATAGTCACATTAACTATGGGAAGTATGCCCATATGTTTATACTTAATGTAATAACTATGGTGGTAAAATATGTTACAAGTATGACATTTACCACTATGTATACGGCTATGATGATTTTATGATATATTTGTCTAGTAGATGACATATACGGGGTAGAAGAATTTTTGCCCATTTACAAAAAAAAATTTCGAACATGCTGTAAATCGTACAAAGCAGCTGCGTAATGAGCAAATATATACAAGTTGACTTCATTATGAAATCTACGTGGTCATGAAGGTTGAGCACTGGTATGGGGGATTAATAGACTCTAGATTTTAATTTCTTTGTGTTTTCTTCCTTTCCCATGAATTTAGCATTCTACGACTCGAGTAGCGTTTTCTATAGTCTGTGTAACGCAAACCCTGCCGTCCGCGGCTTTAGTGGCCCCTCCACCATTCGGTGGGTGGCTGGATGTTGGGCGGCCGGCAACCATCAAGCAATTTAATCAGGCTTCGCTTTCTAATTTTTTTTTAAATTTAGGCCACACCGACATAATTCCATAGATGGCATCCTCTGAAGACCCCAAACTAGTGCGCGCGGGCGAATAAAAAAATTCCGGGCAAAAATGAAAATGGTACTTAAATCAAGAGAGTCAGTCGTTTATCAAGTATTTGAAACCACGTTAGAACAGGTAACACTTGGGCCTAGCCTCTCTTCTAGATATACACAATAGATTAACTACTGACCTTTGCTGGAATGTATACCGCAAGCTACAAAACGCCTGTAGGGAAAGGTGACAAGTTGGAGGCAAAAGGCACAAATTTTGTTGACTGTGAAATTCAGATTACAGAAGGGAAGTGGAGGGTGGGGAAGATTCAAGGAGGGCTACGAGTGGGGGGTGGGGAAGATTCAAGGAGGGCTAC